TAATTTACATTTTCAGCTTAAAACATTGCTGAAAAGACTTAGAGACCCACGGGGACTGTTTTTCAAGCTTAAGAATTTTTCTTTATTGCTTGAAGCCTCAGGTCAGAAAGTTAACTCTCGACTGGGGATTCATCACCCCTGGTTTTATTTCTGGGGTTTGCAACATGGTTGATGCCCACTAAAATTATTGTCATTTTGCTTGACCCTTTCTGATGAGGAAGACAAGGCTCTTCGTGCCTTCTGCCTCGGTGGCTGTAGAGCAAGGACAGGCAACAGAAAGTAGCAGCTTCTGTTTAGTAGTCAGATGAACTAAATAAAATAGCATTGTGTTGAGAGAAATTTGGTCTGAATACCCAGGAAACTTCATGAGAGGACAGCCTGGCACTGGAGAGGATGATGTGTTGAAGAAACAAACTACAGCAGGGGGAGCCTGGAAGCCAGAATGTGGAAGGTTTCTTGCCCATGGCAGAGGGGTTAGAACTAGATGATCTTTAAGGTCCCTTGGAAACCAAAACATTCTGTGATTGTAGGAGCCAGGCTTTGCAGTTCAGCACAGCCTGCTGCAGTCAGGTGCCCCAGTGATCTTCCTTCTCAAACCAGGAGCTGGGAAGCCAGCACAATGTGCCACTGTCTGTGTCTACATCCTCAGCAGACTGCAGCCTCTGCTGATGTATCCCAGTTACCAATATAAGTCTGTGTGTGTTGTTGCACGGATGCCTAAAGGAATAGCAGTTCATGGAAGAACCCAATGATGTAACCCTAGGTTACATCTGTCTGTGCCCCAAGTCAACTTTTGCAAATACTGTGGGGAGTGAGATGCCTACGTACTCCTAGCCAGTGTTTGCCTATGAGGCCCTGATGAGCCTCAGCATGGCTTGTAGAGCTCTCACCTCTACTGTTGAAGGGGCACACAGAGATTCCTAGTGCTTGGGCACCAAGCCAGTGAAGTTCAGTCACACAGCAGCATCCTGAGTTAAAAATGTGGTGTGACTGTGAATAGCAAGGGAGGGTCCCATTTGTGACTCTCCTCCCAATTGCTCTTCTTGCTTATAACCCCCAGACATCAACTTACCTGAAGCATTTATGTCACAACAAACAAGATAAAGTCACCCAGGCTGAAAAATAATCTTCTGTGGGCTTTTTTTTTCTGTCTTTTTTTCCCAAGATCCTGGATGAGTCAACAAAGAAATGACACTTTTATTGTGTGCTTATGGAACAGATTTAGTGGGATACAATCAAGTAATTTGAGTCACATTACAACCTAAAGTCACTGCAAGCTGGTGGGAAATGATTTTTAGATACTAGCAGTCCTTATGAGAAGAAAGAAAAAAAACCCAAACAGTTAATTGCCAAGAAATTGGGCGTGTTTAAATTACGCATTTATAATGTTTTATAATTTATTTCATTCTTAATAATTCAAAACTGGCTGTACGTTTCCTTCCCTGTAAATTCATTCAGTGTGTCTGAAGATTACTGGTTTGTTTCTTCGAATTTTATAGATTTATTGCATTTCTGAGGGGAAGGAAGTGTTGGTTTTGGCACAGATGCTAAGAATATTCTTGTTCTGAAAATGTGAAGCAGTGTTCTAGTGCACTGCTAATCTGTCCTCTTTTATGTTGATACAGAGAAGGGTGTAGTGGTTTTCCTGCCCTACACATTATATCACCGTGCATGATTCTCCTATTCTCATGAATTGTTCAAGTGATTGATAGAAGGAAAATATTAGCATTAATAATTAGTGTTAACAATCCATATGTGATTTAAAACAATTGCACTAATTGCAGACTAGTTTCTGTGCTTACATTCTTGAAGAAAAGTTTTAGAAGGCTAGTCTGACTCTTATAAAAAGACACCAAATTTAATTTCTTGGAAAAATGATGCTGTTATTGATTCTTACTTAAATATTGCTGCTTTTGACACATAAAAATAGGGTATGGAAGAAATACGTATGGCCTGATGGTGAGATATGAAAGAGACTGTCTGTGCAAGGGAGTGAACAATAAAGTAGACAACTAAGACTGTGGATAAAGCCAGCTTCCCAAGAGCCAGAACAAGGACCAAGCAGAAATAGTGTATGCTTTAGTTGGAGGAGAAAGTAATGAGCCAGCGGGAAAAAGAAAGAGATGTTAACTACAAGGCATTGCAGAAATTGTGACTATGATAGTCTGCTTTTAAAACGTTTTGTTGGACAATACTGTCATGTAACTGTGTCGTGTTACAGAGAGAACATGATTCTGAAGAGAGGAGGAAAGTTTTCGTTGGAAAAGCACAGGGGAATTCACAGAAACCTGAAACTGAAAAGACAAGTATCTTGGACACTTACAGCAACACCTCTCTCTTAACTCCCCCCTGCACTTCTCCTGCTACCAGAGGCAAGGGGGGAGAAGAGGAGGAGGGTATATTTCAGCCAGATCCAGCAAGGTGAATGGCATGTTTCTGAAACATTTAATGCACCTGGAAACTCTGTAGCTTAGTTTGAAATGTATAATAAAAATGTGTTGAAGAAAAAAAGTATTTAATGTCAGTATTGGATCTCTAGGACTGTGTATTTTTGAAGGAGAAGAAGAGGAAAAAAGAGTGTACCTTTGTAGTTGACATCTGTGAATGACGAAAAAATGTGAGAATACAGGTTTAGGCCACTAGAAGGTATCCAAAAGCTAAGTATTATTTTCAGTACATTTTAAACCATTAACAGAAGTTTGGGACTTAGCAGGTTTCTCTAGTTATCAGGAGAAGCTGGATACAAAATTTGATATCTAGCACTGCGTGCTGTATCTATTGCGTAGATCAATTATTAGGTTGGAAATGACTGCAGTGGCTGAAAATGTACACCTTCCCTTGAACAGAAGTTACCCCACCTCAGCTCAGCCCTGCTAAGGTGTGAGCCTTTCCCAGCTGCTTCAGCACAAAATTGGCAAAATCTATTGGCATGTAAGAATAAAGGCCACAGATAATCACTCTGGCATGATCTGGAAGGGCTTGTGTCTCCCAACTCTGAATTATTCCATGAGCATTAATCAGCCCTGAAGATGGGTCTTGTGTGATAATTAAATATTGTTATTCTCCCACCTTGCTACAGATGGAACATGTCAGACCTGAAAGCCATAGACCAAGGACTTAAGGGAGCACAAACGATCAAAGTCAAATTGACAATCTTTGCATTTGTACCTTTCCATCAGCTGTCCTTAGGGGATCTGTTTGTAGAGAAAACAGATTGTTCCTCAGCCTGCAGTGCATTCAGGGTTTTCTCAACCACAGAAGAGAAATATCACCAGAAGATTAGATGAACCAAAAAACCAATTAAAATGTTTTGTTAAGTGAGTTCACCATGGTGAAGGAATCAGCTGAAGACAGCTAGTGAGTTATCCCCTGCTATGGCAATGGGATAACTCTTTTTTTGGTTTTTACAGGGGAGCAGCCTCCTCAGCCCCTGTCTGCCTGTGGTTTAGCAGATAACATCGTTGCACCCTGGCAGTCCCTAGATGGGTATGCTACTGGTTAGCATATTTGGCAACCTGTTTTTTTCCCTCAAGGCTTGTTTTGGGAACGTATACCAGCAGGGCAGAACTGAGACAAGTGTCCATTTGTCAGCAGGGAGGTGTCTGGTGGCACAGATGAGTTTTTTTTAATCCCCCAAGAATTTATACATCCTCTGTGTATATGGGCCCAGAGGTTTCTTCCTTTCAGTTTAATTTTTTTATTCTTTATGTATGAAAATCCACATAAGATTGAGGGGAGAGGAAAGGAAGAACAGATGCAGCAGTACTAATTAAATTAGGCATTTCCTAAAAGCAAAGACTAGGCAGTTCAATCTCATTAAAAAAATACCAGCATGGAGCCCATTCTTTCTGGTTTGAGTGATTACTTGCACATCCAGATGTCAATGCAGGGAAAACTATAAATGTAGAGAGGTTTATTTTGTATTAGCTTATGTATTTCTTTATAATTCAACCTTTGCACCTACCATCTTTGGCTTTTTCTAATTTATTTTTTTAACATATGGAGTGGTAGAAGAAGCTTTGAGGCAAACAAAAAAATGTCCTTCTTGCAGGGTGAGATAAAAGGACCATGTTTCGGGTGAGAGAGAAGGGAGGGAATTTGGGATAATGCTGACACTGTGCAAGAGATGACCCTTCAAGGAGATGGGTAGCAAAGTGAAAATTCTTCTATGAGGACTTCCAGTAGCCTTCTCTAGCCCAGTAACTTGCTATTAAGTTAGGTGAGAAAGCCAGCCTTTAGTTTATCTCAATGCAATTATTGTTGTATCATATTGGTGGCTTTTTTTCTGACAAATTTACAGGTTTGTTTTTTTTTTCTAACCCAAGAATTATGGCTGAGGTCCCACTGAGACAAACACGTATGTCTGGAGTCACATATACTTGCAAAAGTTTTTAGCATCAGATTATGGTTTATGTTATATTTTGCTGTAAATTTCTGTAGCACAAGAAAACTGTGACAATTTTTCAAAATATTTGTTGTGTCAGTTAAAATAGAGAAGCCAGATCTCTGGCAGTAGCAACTATTTGCAGTTGGAGAATGAGTACATGAAGTCATTGGACATCAGAGAAGATGAGAGGTGGATCAACGCTCCCCAGAGCTCCCTGGTAGTAGAATAAGGTACGTTTAGGATCTGGGGTAGGTTGAGTCCCTTCAAGGGCAGGGACTTCTCTGGGCCTCCCTAGTTCTGAGTAGGTGCCATAAGAAGTAAACAGGATCCTTCAGTTTTGTGGATATAGCCCTACACTTCCTCCAGTGTTTTGGTATTTGCCTGAAATGAGGGCCACCTGCATTCAAGTGCATGTCAGTGAAATTATTGTTGAGAACTTTTCCTTGCAGAAAAACATACATAATGTTTTTTAGTTATAGTCCTTCCAGCATTTTCACTAATTACTCACCTATTCCTACCAGCAGGTAGCTTTGTACTTATAAAAACAACATCCAGATACGCCCCAAAAAAGTACTATGACTTCATATAAAATCAAGATTACATTCTTTTCAACAGCTTGACCAAAGCATGCTAAGGACAGTATTCTAGCACTGTACATTTAGCTCTGGGTTTTAAGCTCTGGCTTGTTTTAGTTGTGAAATAGGTGAGTTTATTAAAACATTATATGGAGTCAAAGGTCCTTTCTAAATCCAGCGTGTAGGGACGTGTACTCCAGAGTATTACAGTAATGAGGCACTTTCCTCTGCACAAATAACAAGAGCCACTTAATATTTTGTATTTGTGTTTTTCTGTGCTCATTTGCCTCCCTGGGGAGCAGGTGCTCAGCCCAGGATGCTGCCACTGCTGAGGCAGGGAACTGTGCATCTTGGTGAGCTCTACACTCCTGCCAGGGGACATTCCTAGCCATTGGCTCCTGTTCTTATGCTGGCCCTTGCTCCAGCACTGGTCTGTGTAGAAGTGTGTAGTATTAGTGATAAACCATGGTATTTCTAGCACATGAGCAAATTAAGATATATTCTTTTGTTTTGCTCTGAGCATGAAGAAAATGTACGTGCTATAGTAATCCTTTTTTTAAATTTCCTTGTTATTCATTATTTTTTCTCCTTAGTTTTTCTCAAAGCTAAACTTCCCACAAAATTCAATTATACTTTAGAAGTCTGTGTTGGGATGACAGATAAAAGTCCACTCAAACCTTTGCTTCCCAAGTGGTTTAAAAGACAGAAGTTTAAAGTTAGTGTAGAGGCTGACTGAAGTGGGAAGGCAGTGTTGGTAGTGGAGCTGTTTGGATTGTAAGCTTTGAGGTGACATCAGAAGGTTCTTCATTCTCTTCAGAGCTGATGTTACCAGAAATAGGATCACATTTCCCCTGGGACCTTGACATAATCCATGGGCCTGTCCGTTTAGTTGACTGGTGCAGCATTGCTGAACCGCTTTGGCAAGGGCTAATTTGTGGTGGATCACCAGCTGGATGCTTGGACAGGCTGCTCCTCTTCATGCGGATGCCCATCCGAACACTGTAAGGCAGCCTTTAAAATGCCAGGGCTGCTTACAGCCCTGTTGATATGAGCTATATACATGTTCACAAACAGGACATTGAAGAGTTTTGGTTTAAGTGAAAATTCTTATACAACTGGTTCCCAGTGACCGCTGTTCCTAAATACATGAAATGTCATAAGGTTTATCAAAAAAACTGAGTTAGATACATCTTGCATACCTATGCTGTTCAAGTTTAGTATGTTATTCCTAATCCTATACAGGAGTTTAAAAAAAAAGAGCCAGTTAACACTTGATTTAGTTTAATTTTATTCCTTCTAGAACAAGAAACCTCACTCAGTGAAGGTTAGTGTTTCTCTTCTAGCAATTTTTTTAAACCTGAGTCAGGCTGTGCTGTTGTACTTACCTACATTCCTTGTATTATGCTTTTGTATTATTCTGCAGAAAATCTCCTACCAAATAGGGAAATCTTCTGTTTTGCTTATTGTGTCCTCTGTATGTTTCATCATGATTTCAGGTTTTTCCCTCGTGTGAGCACAGCTAGTGGAAGGCAATGCCTGCCCAGGGCAAGGAGCTGTGTGGTGTAATGCACCGATCCCTTTTTGGGTCTCTCCTGGGGTGAGAATTACCGCTCTCTCCCAGACTTGAGCATCCAGCTAGAGTGAAAAGTGAGCATAGGGTCTAAAAATGTTTAATATGTGTGCCAAGTACTTGAATGTTAGCAAGAGTGGGAGGGAGGTTTAAGGGAAATTACAAACCTTTTTCAAGTCAAGAAAAATGACTGAACCCTTTATCATTTCTTTTCATTTACAAAATGTCAAAACCACTCCCCTAAGCTTGGCAAAGTTGCCATCATTTGTTTGTGAGCTAATTGAAGGCACTCTTTGAAAGAATAATTATTAACCTTTGTTCAGTATGACAAGGAGAATTTTTCAGGAGGTATTTTCTGGGGGAGGTAAATTGGTGGGGATTGCAGGAGGGCACTCTGCTTCTTTGGTCGAGATTGGAGCTGAACAGGCTTCAAACCATGATGTCAGAGTAGCACTGGCATGTGCCTTGCAGAAGGGCACGGGGACTGAGTTTGACTCCTGTTTGCCTACCCAGGGCTCCAGTATTCCTTCTGTGCCCACCAGCATGCGGACAAGATCATCCATCATCTGCGAGATCTCTGCTTTCCTTTTCCTCCTCGGATCCCTGCAGCGATGCCATACTGGGGAGCCTTGAGTGGAAAGAGGAGAGACCCAAGCAAGCCCTGGTTGCCAGCATAGGCTGCCCACTTCTGGGCAAATCCTCAGAGAAAAGACCCCTGTAGAAATATCACCAGTGGAAGCAGTGTTTGCTCGTTACTTTGTGGGAGACTGTATCCACACACTGATTCATTATTAAATAAGCATATAAATATCCCTTTGTCTCCATTGTTGGGTGCATCATTTGCTGTGCAAGTTGCAGAAGGCCCGGGATGAGAGGATGAGAAACAGTTGGGACAGGCAGAAACTGCCAGCAGGAATTTCTGAAGTATTCCTGTGGGCTTTCCTAAGAAATGGCTTGCTTTCCCAGGGACTGCTGGAAGCATGGGAGCACTCAGTCACATAATGTTCCCTCTCTAGGAAAACATTTGGTAGTAGTTTAAAAAAGAAAGCTTTACAGAGCTTAAATAATGCCAAAGATGAATTTGGTGAAAAGTGATGCTGTACACACTTTACTTAGGAGAATTTTCAATTTCCAGTCCTGCTTGGAGTTGCTAGCAGTAGCTCCAGGGCTTGCCAGTCATATTCAGTTTTTTTGCACCACCTTTTTTATTTTAATCAGGTTATTATGGCACTTTTAAGCACATGGCTAAATATTAAGCTTTTGTGTTCAATTCACCTGTATCAACAAGGTCATGGCACTCATAAAAATACCACAGAATGTAGTAATCGTAAAATTAGTGAAATCCTAATTTCACTAATTAGGAGAGAATGGATTCAATTTCATTTTTAAAGTGTTTAAAGTAATTCATGTCAGTGTTTACATTTGTATACTGGCTTGTAGTTATTCAAGAGTCATATAGCCTGGTTTACCTCTAAAGTAAAAAGGAATAATAAAAAGTTTTTTTTAATGAAAACTAAATTTTTTAAGGGTTTAAAGAGTGTCTTAAAGGAAACACAAAATACAGTGGTGTCATTCCATACTGTGGGAGTGACCAATGTCAGCATTAATCTGGCTAAAGTAGGCTAAATTATTCTTGTTGTCTGTATTGGGTTTTGTACAAAGTAAACAAGTCAATATATTGTCTGATTGACAATCAGCCTGAAAGCATCTTAGTGGTAACTGGAAGGCTTAAAATTTCTCACTGGTCTACAGTGACTGCTAACTCTTAACTGTCCTTAGAACCACAATGGACGGCAGTGCAGTGGTGTGTGCTGGCGTAACTGGGTGGTCTTGGATTTCCCCCATCAGGTGAACAGGCATCTCCTCTGGCACCTTTTGAAACTCTTACTGTATGTGAACTCTTACATATGTGCTGAAGTACTGAATGAATATTGTTAGGCCCTGTGATAGTGTAGCACTTTAACACATTGGTGGGGAGGAGATGGAGTCTTGTATTTTTTCTGTTGTTCTTTGCTTGCCAGCTTAAGGGGTGTTCATCCAACTCCAGCTAAAGCAATTCAGTTTAAACTGGCACATAAAAGTTCAAGTTGGTGCTTTATTTTAGCCTACAGACAACAAAGATATATTTTATGATTGCTTAATGTCAGTGTCTGAATAAGAGAGGAAGTTAGGAAGGCACATGCTGCAAACAAAATCACAGGAACTTGTGGATAGCTAAAAAATTTAAAAAATGCAACAGCTGAGCAGGTGGCAATGAAAATCAGAAATCTGTTGTTCAAGCTGTTCTCTTTCATTTTATACTTCGAACTGAAGCAGGAATGGTCTTTCTGGTTTTTGTTGGTACTGCTCTTGTTACAAACAGGTCTTGATCTATGGCCAGCCCTCTTAAGCAGCAGGATAATACAGTCATTCATTATTAACAGAAAGCAAGGAGAAGTAGGAACCTCAAATACAGCATGAAACAAGCAAGTGGGGAAATGAAGGTATCAATTATGTACCTGTCATGTTGATGATGCTCTTACAGAGTAGATGTTTTCCCCTAAGGAAAGAATCTGCTGGGAGAGCAGAGCGTATCCTCAGTGCCTTGGCTGATAACAAGATGACATCTCCCCATTGGAAGCCTCAACAAGCCCCCTTTTTAGGCCCTTTTCCCTCCCAGGAGGACCTCAGGCTTTGGTTAGTCCTGGGCTGGTGCCTGGACCTAAAGGGAGAGCACCGCTGGCTCTCCCACATGGAGGTGGGATCCTGGTTTCAAACACTACCTCCACAAGCATCTGCACCCTTGGGGTTCGCTGTGAACTGGCAGGCTCCGACACTGCATCCCAGTGCAGTGAGCTGAAGGGCAACAATTTTCTCATTTGCAATTTGTTCCAACTAAAGTTTTTTGTTCACCAATGCATCACTTCCATAAACACTGATTCCATGGAAAAATTGAAGTCCAAAATGTGTATGAATACAGCCTTCAAGCCTACATGAAGATGGTACTACAATTCCACTGGGTTTTGCTGTAGTGATTTATGGTGCCATCAGCTTGCATGATAGAATTACTGTTTCTTGATTGTGTAGGAAAGGGACCACACTGGTTTTTAAAGTAAAACTGAATCCCATCTTTGGGATTCACACAGACCTGTCCTTTTCCTTGCTCCTGAGTGTCCAAGTTTAAATTGGCAAAGGAAGGGCAGCTGCGCTGACGAATATGTCAGCTTGTGCCTGATTTTCCCCACCTTGGCCCTAGTAAAGAACAAGATTCAGGGAATAAAACAGCTGTTTGCTGTGTGGCTGGGGACAGAGAGAGCGATGAAACATGATGCAGAATAAAAGTCAGCTGCAACTTGGCAACTCCCATTTCCTCATAGCAAAGAAGATGACTTAGATTTTATTCAGAATTGCAATATTATAGGCATAGAATGATATGAATGATATTTACAGGCTGTGGTTTTAGAGTTGGCAAATTGGCATTTTGACTGAGAGGAGCTGTATTTAATCATTATTAGGTTCTTCTGAGCATTTTAGAGTTTTATTATTATTGTTTATCCAAGCTGATATCTAGCAACAAAGACAAACATTTTAAAGACAGCTAAAAAGTGAACTTAAAAATAAACAGTTTTCTCTACAAAGGCGGCAAAGTTAAAAGCCTGTACAAACATTTGCAATGACAGCAACAATCAGAAATTTGCTAGTTGGGTTTAAAAAACCTTGACCTCCCTGGTGGGGTTCTGAGGCCAGCGAGGTCATAAACAGAGCCTATTTGCTTTGGGTTTGACTTACACACATTTGGACAAGTACAAGAACTTTTTTCCTGTACTAGAAAAAAGGTGTTGAAGTGGTGCCAGTACAGAAGAAAATGTTACTCTTCAAAGGCAACACAGTGAGCTCTGGGCTGTCCCGTCCCAGGAATTTAATTATATGACTAATCAAATTGCTCCTAAGGTTTTGGGTACATAAACATTCTGTTACTTGTAGATCAGAAGCTCCTTGTCATAGTACTTAAGAGCAGGGAAGCACTGGGATGGAAATCCACAAAACGAGATGCTTTCAGATGTGTAAACATGTTAATTGTGAAAGATTTGGTTCAAGATAGTAATAATAAAGGTAAAAACGTGTAATGTTCATACAGAATTGTATTTAGCAAGGGTGCTGGGTAGTGTGGAACGAGATGGAGTGGGATAGGATGGAATGGGGAGATGTGTACCTCCTTCCCTTCCTGTTGAAGAGGAAAACAGCTGATGATGTTAGCACTTCACGTGGTCATTGCTTTAGCACTGGATATGGTGAAGGGGTCGGAGCATCTTTTGCACCCACTGGTGGTGAGCTCGGGTAATCGCTTCCTAGCAGAAGTCTCCCTCTCTTCTCAGACTTCTCTCCCATTCACTCCTGTTCTCTTCCTGCCCCAGCTCAGTGGCACACTGTCCAGCCCAGTCTGGTCAGCAAATTCATTTGCCTGACCCTCTGGTATCAGCAGTAGGACTTAACTCAGTTTTAAAAGCCCAGGCAAAAGGTGGTTTTTCTTTTGTCTCACTGCAGTGATAAGGTGCAGCCTTACAAATGGTTACCGGCATGGTTGGTGGTTCAGCTGATATTTCCACCGTGGTGGTGCGAAAACACATGCTGAGATGACTGGAAGCCCACTTGTATGGGTAGCATCTCTACAAAACTTTACCTGCATGCTGCCTCCACCGGTAGTGGCAGTGGCTTCTGGGGACGTAGCCAGGGACCTGCAGGGAAATGCCTCCCATGTTTCCAGCTATATTGGAGGGGTGTCTGAAAGGCATCAGAGAAGGATCAGCAGCTGAGTCCTTTAGCCAGTGAATATATCGTTACAGAACTTAATAAGATGTGTACATGTATCTTACTTTTACATGAAATTACAAAATTATTTAAAAAAAAAATAATTAAACTATAAATGGAAATACAAACTATTGTACTCCAAGGAGATATTATCCTTTAATATTACAATATCCCTTAATAACAGAAGTGGTGTTCATTTTCAATGTTCAGCTGTTCAAAGTAGTTTGGTTGCTTTTTTATTTGTACTGCTTTTAGTTGGTTTTTGTCCCACATTTGTTACTGTGCCTGGATTTTTTTTTTCCCCTGTTTTTGTGGAGGAGTTGCTTTGACCTTTGACCTGATGTGTCATATATCTGGAAAATGTAACTGTCTGGAAACTTTCCATTTGCTGCTTTTTGCTCAAGTATTGAGGTTGAGAAAAGAAGGAATAAACAGCCTGCATTAAACCCATGATCCTTTTCCCTCTGGTTGGGGCCAGCTGTGTTCAGGGTTAGAGAGGAGGTAGCAAGAAGATTTTTGGCCAGATCACTTTCAAACTTCTGTAACAGGATGGCTGAGCATTTGCTTACTTCTTCTGTAGAAAGCTAAAAGGATGGAAGTTAAGTTTTCATTGAAGAGGAGGAAGAAGTTGTGTAGGTATTCTAATAAGGACTGCATGATGTCAAAACCTAAATAATTAATTTACAAACACATGCTTTTGGGCATATTGCAGTCATAAGGTCATGCCCTTAATTTTATTCAGACCTGAAGCGAATCCCTAATGTGTTTTGACTCAAAAAATAGATGAGAAGAGAGGTGGTATAACTGCAGTGCTTAATGTGCTGTAGAACTCGCCCAGCTCATGTGCCAGTGTAGGTGTGGCAGAAAAGAGCTCTGCACGGGTTCCTGCATGAGAAGTGTAATTTAGTAAGGCTGGATAGCCCTGACTGGCTGTATTGCCTGTGGCATTTCCAGTGTCTCTACAGAGTGCTCTACAACCATAA